TTTATACTGACTCCTTGCCTTGGTCCAAGTTTCATTTTGAGGAAAAATCATGTGACAGTGAATATTGCTTAAGGTCATCTGAGGAGTAAGAATGGCAGAACAGACTAAGGGACATCTTTTATAAGAAATGAACATATTCACTCTTGCATATACTTGAAATATATATAGAAAAGGTGCATGATAGCCAGCCATCCATCCATCCATTCATCCATACAGGGTACATCCTGGACAGGTCACCACTCTGTCACAGAGCTGACACACAGAGACAGACAACCATTCACATGGATATTCACAGATATAACCAGATAAGAAAGGACAATTAAGATTAACCACATGCATACTTTTGGATTGTGGCCGGAAGTTGAACTTACGGGAACCTACGCAGACACGAGGAGAACATGCAAACTCCACACACACTGGATTCAAACAGAGGACTTGTTTTCTGTGAAGTGACTGCACTAACCAATGCACTGCTCTGCGTTAAATGTGCATGATTGCTCTCATTCTTTTTTTTTAAATTATTTATTTATTTTCATTTTTACCATAACTTTTGTTACTGTCCTGGGAACTTAGTTAAAAGGGACACTTGATGCTGTTGTGTTTTAAGTCACACAGCTTTTTAAAACATTTTTACAGTTGATGCTTTACAAGTAATCTGGAAGCAAACAGACATAATAGCATCATGGCTGATTTTGGCACAGTACTGGAATGGCCACTGTAAATGTGTTTAGCCATGCAAAAGTGATACGGTGTCACTTTTTTCAGGTTAAAGTGCACAGAAATAACAGCAACATTGGACAGTCAATAAGGGCCAGTCCCAGTCACCGTACAGGCTGACCTGCTTTAGCAAGACCTAACAATGAGTATATATAGCACTGAGACAGACAGGTTCTGGCAGTGGGAAAACATGCAGGGTGGCAGACTGTGTGTCATCACTGCCTGTGCCAATGCCTGCTTTTTGGTGCATCTTGGTCATTCAGTGTATCTACACACAGCACGACCTGTCCTCAGCAGCGGGTGATTTATTTAAAGCACCTTGATTTGCTACGACTGCATAAGTTTTAGCATAGGCAGCCAAGGCAGGAAGCAAAGCCTTGACATGTCACCAGTCTTATCTATCTCAGAGTTACAGGACTGCAAAGAGCAAACACATGCCCCAAGTCTCAAGCATTTTCTATGCGGAAAGCAAAGCTCTTAAGCAAACCCAGAAAATGGTCCTCTCTGTCTTTGCCTCTCTGTCCACATCCCCCGAATGCACAGACACACACTTGCTTCCAGTTAACTGCTTGTCCCACCCTCACACAAAAAACAGCTGCGGTGACCCATGTCTGACAGTATACAAACAAAGAGTCCGCGAGAACAGAGTACACATGCACACACACGCACAGACACACACACATGCACACAGAAAGAGAGAGACAGACAAGGCTGAGACAAGATCCTGCAGTTGTTGGTTTGTTGGTTTAGTGGCTCCTGAGTGCCATTAGCACTGATGAAGTCTTCAGCCAGTGGGCACTTTGGCTTAAAGATGATAAAGGAATAAAAATATGAATTCTGCATATGAGCTCGTTCTAACATATGAATGTTGACACATTAACAAGGAGAAGTAATTGTTGAAGCGCCGCCTATGACACTAACTCAAAACACAAGCGAGGGCTTTCCCATTCCTTTCTGTTTCAGATCATCCGCACATGTGCTCACAGAGAGTTCATTTATGCAGACATATTTATGCCCTTTCATGGTAACAACAACAACAACAAAAGATCTGGTAGAGAACTGCAAAGAAGTTGCTGAGTCATCACACCACATGGGGTTAGATCCACAAAAACAAGAGCAGATGAAAGCCTCGCTCTTAACTGCTGGCACTAATAATTGACAAAGCAGGCATCACTGCATCCTCAAGGAAGAGTTTGGTCACTCTCCCAGCTAGATTGCTCTGGGAGCCATTTTTATTGTGTGTGTGTGTGTGTGTGTGTGTGTGTGTGTTTTTTTTGTCACCCCCCTTCTTGTTCTTGACACGTGTTTTGACTTGACACGTTAATAAATAATTCCTTTCATGTAACGTGAAATAAGTGAAACGACTTTTACAGAATGAAAGAATTCCTTATTTTGCTGTAGACCACAATTTGAGATCCTCTGCAGCATGCACCAACTAGTGACTCCGAGTCAGGGTACAGGTTGCCCCCCAGCGGTGAATGGCGGTAACGCACAACGCAGGTGAGCGCCGTTTGATGCTGCTGACCGCTCTAAGGGTGAACGAGCGAGAAGTATTTATTGTCTTAATTCAGCTGAAAAGCATAAAACAGACCAGCAACCCACAAAAACATCATTACAGTGGCAAAAAAACATCAACACTTTCCCCCTCTGTTTTTCTTGTTTAAAGCCTACCTGTGTTTTGAGGTAAATTGAGAGACCGTAGCAGAATAGATGCGCCTTGATCACATTCGGCACTGTCAGCGCCAGCATTCATAAGAACGCTCTGCGCGAGAAGAAGAAGTGCAAATGAACTTGTTTGAGTAATTATGCAGAAAGCACTTGCTTATTTGAGTTCCTGAAAACTTTATGAGCAGCATGCACGCAGACTTACGTTGCCCAGGGTGAGAAACCACAGCAGGTGGAAAAACGACGGTCTCCAGTTTCTGCACGCTGCGCAAGACAAACGCAAGAAATTCATGTCCGTGGATCACTTTTAACACACCTCCCAGCAGTATCGATATCTTAAATAAAACAGTTCAACAGCAGCAGCGGAGGCAGCACTTCTGCTTTAGATGAATGAAGCATCAAAGAGATTCGCATGCAGGCTTCAGTTTAACCACTTTGGTCTCCATTCATTTCCATGCGGAGTTCCAATCGCGGTAAACTGCTTGAACTCCAGTCCTCTCTCCCGGCAAGTCATTTTCTTTCTTTCCACTCAGACAGCCCTACAACCCCC